TTTGGGGTTAGCTGGTACCTTGGCAGCACTACAAGCCCACCTGGTACCCTGGATGCGGAACTTGGCAAGTAGACAGCAGTGCCCAAGATCAAAGGGCAGAGGAGATTTCCCTGGCCAGGTCACCCACTCAGCTAACACCACTCTGGTCCTGTCTGAGCAGAGCCTGAGACAGGTGGCTCATCTCCATGCTTTAGTCCCACCGGTCTGTGGGTAGCAGTGGCAGCTCTGAGCCAGCGGGTGTGACAAGACTGTGAGACCGGGTGTCATCCACAAGTGAGATGCTGCAGTTCAGGTGTCTCTGCTTTGATTCTGTGGTGGCGAGACGGCAGTCTGCCAGTCCCTCAGCGCAGCTGAAGTCCTTTTGGGGCAGGAAAAGCAGGCCCTTGACAAGAGCAGTCCCACTGAATCCTTCAACAGAGTTGAGCAGAATTTCAGAAGCAACCAGCAGCCCCCAAGAGTGATCTCCATGCCTTGCTGCCAGGTGCCAGGCTGGGACAACCCAGGAGACTGAGGCAGTCAAGCACAGACATGGCTGTTGAGAAGCACTGTCCATGGATGGAGCGCAGGAAGCAATCCAGCTGTGGACACAAATCATGGCTGCTTGTGCAGCAGCTGTCCTGGACCTGCCCTGCCTATAAGAATTGAGATAACTTCTGGAACCCCTCAGGACCCTCGCAGCGCGTGCTCACATCTTCACCATGGAGAAGTACAAGACAGGTCAGGTGCTGATGCACAGATGATCTCCAGTGCTTCCTTTCACACACACTGTGCTCCAGCCCTGACTGAGCTGTAGAAGATTGCATGCAGGACTGATGGGGGGACAAAGATGTCTTTGTTTGAGGTTACTGGTGGGAAACATTTCTACTGCCTGCAGCCCTGTTCACTGTAGGCTTCTAGCTATGCTAGTCGTGCACAAGTGCCGTTCCTCAGAGCTGTTTTAGGTGCTGACAATGGTTTTGCTGCCCATTCCCCTTAACAGTCTAAGACTGGGTGGCTGGGACTGGTGTCTGTACTGGGGTGTCCTCGGTAGTTGGGGTGAACTCTACTCTCCATCTTCTTTCCTGGGACTTCTCAACTGGTGATCCAACAGCAAGGGCCTGGCTGAGCAACTGCTGCTGACAGCCTGTGTCCACAGAGGTGGCTTGTGGCAAAGAGCACCCCCACACAACACTTGTCCTGCTGTGTAGAGGCCCTCCAGCAGCCCCAAAGAAAACACTGTTGTTAGTGCTTTCTGTTGGGATCCAACAGCAGAAGTTGGAGCAACGTTCCCTGTAACTCTCTGCCATCCCACATCCTTAAGTGCCAGAAATCGGTCCAGAGGCAGGCTAGTGTCACCTCTGGATATCTCTTCCCAGCCTGGGCAAGTTAATGAAAAGTGGAAAGCTACCACCACAGACAGCAGAGTTCATTACGGAGGGGAGCCTGACAGCAGGGCAATCGAACACCAGCATTAGCCCACCGCTAGCCAGAAACCACGTGCAGCTCTGCAACCTGCGGCAAGCCGCTGGGAAGAGCAGAGCTGGCACCTGTTGTGACAGCTCTGCGTTGCAGGAGCTACATCGGTGTGGCCGCATTCGTGGTATCTGTGCAGCTATGGATGAAGTACCTCTCACCTAGCTGGGGGCAGCTCCCAGGGAGCAGGGTCCTGCCTTGCAGGAAGCAATTGCACAAGTGGATGAGAAGAGACAGAAGGAAAACAGCTTTCTGCTTGGTGATATGCCTTGCAACCCTGGGAAGGGCATGACCGGTTTGCAGACACAATATTCTCAAGTAGATTTAGTTCAAGGCTATGCAATACCAGCACACAGCCCAGTACGGCTGCACTGAAGAGGAGCTGCAGCAAGCACTGTACTCTGCTTCATGCCAGTCTGCTGAGGACAAGGGTCCTGACATGCCCATGGTAGGTCTGGATGGAGCCGTGTGGAGGAAGCCTCTAATTAGTTATACCCAATTAGCATCATATTTAACAAGAACTTCCCTAGTTCCCACCTCTTCTGCTGTAATTATTTCCAGCCCTGTGAAGTTCAAGATCACTGCCTGTGCCACATGTATGGGGGCAGGTGGCACAGAGGGGTAGGGGGGAAGCTGGGCCCACGCAACACCCACCACCTTCAGGGACTGATTTAAAGCGCCATTGTGATGGCAGTGTCAAAACTAGAAGTCTTTTCAGAGTCTGTGGCATCATCATTCCCCCTCAATGTGCAAGAGCTTTTATCATCACATTGAAAAATGTTAAATTATCAGAAGATGAAGCAAAAAATATCAGTTGGTTTTAATTTCCTTTTGGAACTTTTCCTCCCTGCAAAATGCTGCCATAAGCAATACTTTTGTACTAACAGAATCACTTTATAAAAGAAAAAATAAAGGTATTATTTTCAGCAGGGGGCTGTGATGTTGGGCTGAGTACTATTTTTTCCCAAGGGACCTTGAAATTTAATTTTACTTACCTTGGATGTTGCCTCAGGTCTCAAAGCTTCCTACCAGCTTGACACCAGAACATGCCAAAGAGGTTCTGTATTATGCCAAAGAGGTTCTGTATTATGAAAATTAAGCTTAAATCCAGAGCAGATACTGATCCACCAGCCGGAATCTCAAAGCAGACTTTGCACTTGGCAGGAAGCCATCAGTTAGTAACAAGAAGAAACGGGGACTTTGTCTCAATGGTGGTTGACCATGTGCCTAAAGCAAGCATCTGGCTGCAGCAGGACAGGCCACCCCTCACCCCAAATGTGCCTGCCACGGTTAGTGGTATCTCTTCTTCCCCTGACTAACCTGGTGTGCTGTTTTCCTCTCTGGAGAGCTCCTGAGGCTGAGCAGAAAGCACACAGGGGCATTCTCACAATTTAGCATCTCAGTGCGGGCCGCAGCCTCCCACTGAACTCCAGGAAAGAGGTTAAATTACCTCGGAGGGCATTAAATTACGCCAGCTCCCACTATGGCCCTGGTGTGGGAAAGTGGTTTGTCTTCTTGCACCTGGCACGTCCCTAGGCCAGACAGAGCTAATGTTCTGTAGAGGAGCTCTTAGCACTGAGAAACGGCTGGAGAAGCCCCAGCTTTGACTCAGGCCACCGAAGTGAGCTCTGAAATGGGAGGAGAGCCAGCCCCAGGTCTTGTGTCTGTGATGGCGGCAGGAGGTTGCCCAGCCTGCAAGCTGGAGGAGAAACTCAGCAGTGTGGGATAGCTCCTGCTACAGGGTGTTGTTGCTTCCCACTCATGGGCAATGCCTTGTCCCTTAGCTCTCTCCTTCACCCTGGATGAGAAGCTCAAGCTTGGGATAAACATTAACCCAACAGAGAAACAACCTCCCCGGGAATGCCTCTTTCCGGGGCAGAGTGCCAGGATACAGGAGTGCATCAAGTGTCTTTGCTGTGCACTAGCGCTTTTGCATGCAAGGGCTTAGCTGCAGCATATAGAGGTAATGGTGGTTCAGACCAAAGATCTTTCCAGCCCAATACCACCGAGGGCCAAAAAGGGCTGAAGAAGGGAAGCCTCCTGGCCTCTACCTGTTTGCAGCTCAGGGACTCACTGAGCCAGCAGTGGCTTTCTGTGTGTTTGGCCACCCTCCACCAATTTCTCCTTTCAAAACCATATAAACTCTTGGTGGCCCCAAAGGCCTCCAACAAGGTGATCTACAGATTAATTGCACGTTGGGGGGGGGGGGAAAGGCGGAATTGAAACACCCCTTTTATGAT